TGGTAACTCTTTCAAGAACCGCTCTTGTGGTGCCCCAGATCCTAATGAGTTAATTGTTACATTATTAATTTAATCGGGTAAAAAAATTACATAGATAGTTAATTAGATAATAACAGTCTTCAGATTAATGTTAAAGTCACGCCACGACAATTGTAAGGGATAAATAATACATTACCCAGAATGCTGCGCCGCTGAGCACTACAACTTCAATTCAATTGAGTACAGGCTTAACTGAATGACAACAGAGAAAGAATAATAAGGCATTTTATTGCATAATTTGGCTCTGAGGAATTCTCCTCAGCATCTGGCTCTGAGGAATGCTGATGACAGGTTGCCCTTTGCTGGGCAGCTGGCATCGAACCCCCCACTGAAACCAGTAGTAACCACCAACTTCAATGACAGTTAAAATAAAATTGAAATACGCGCCCCAATAACAGGTGTTTATAACCTGGTAATGACCACCTGACTACAGCCTATTACCTACACTCTTAGAAAAAAAGGGTTCTAAAAGGGTTCTTCGGCTGTCCCGATAGGAGAACCAGGTAGAACCATTTTTGGTTCCAGGTAGAACCATTTTGGGTTTCATTTAGAACCGTTTTGGGTTCCATGTAGAGCCCTATGTGGAAAGGGTTCTACATGGAACCCAAAATACTTCTACCTACAACAAAGGGTTCTACCTGGAACCAAAAAGGGTTCTAAATACCACCTTTTTTTCAAAGAGTGTAAGATCAGACAATCATGGGCAGCTGAATAGCATGTCTCTTGGGGAATCCAGTCTCAGTGAAACCTGATGCAGAGAGAAAAACGTTCATGATCATCAGCATAGCTAGTACAAACCTAGCTCTTACAAAGATGGTTAGTAGGAATCAATAAACATTGAAAATCAGAGTATCAAACATCAACATTTTGCACACAACTTACTGTCAATGAGTATGGATTTAAGCAGGGCAGGTTCCATCAAGTTGAATATAAGACTTTAAGACCCTTTTAATGCCAATTTAAATGCAATTTAATACAAATTGTGAGTTCTGCTTGTGCCACAAACCTGCTAATATTCCCAGATTTTATCATGCCATCACCAACAGAAAAAATAAGTAGGCTAATCATCTTCTAATGGCATCATTCACAGAGGTTTAATAAAGAAGTGCAATAGACTACTGAGATGGTATTCAAATAACTTGTTTCATCTAAGCAGGAATGCATGATTCAAGATATGTGCACTGCAACCTAATCCAGTGATTGTCATGGATTGTGGTTTGACAATTAGGTCAAAGTATATTTTACTGTTAAAATAGGACTCAATATTTTTACTTAAATACATATTAATTAGCCTACATCTTTATGAGCGCTAATATCATAGACTAATATATTTGGTGCTAATTCACCAGCTGGGTGAGTGGAAACTCAAAGCATATTTGTCACGCCCTGGCTCTGGGACTCTGTTATGTTGAGCCAGGGTGTGTTGTTTCTATGTGTTTTGTGTGCTAGGGTGATTTTCTAGTTCATTTGTTTCTATGTTGGCCGGTGTGGTTCTCAATCAGAGGCAACGTGTATCAGCTGTTGATTGTTGTCTCTGATTGGGAACCATACTTAGGCAGCCTGTTTTCCACAGTGTGTTGTGGGATCTTGTTCCGTATGGTTTGTATTGTAACCAAGGACTTCACGTTTCGTATCATTTGTTGTTTTGTTCGTGTGGTGTTCTCAACAAAATAAAGTATGTTCACTTATCACGCTGCGCATTGGTCCACTTCCTCCGACGATTCTGACAGAAGATCCCACCATAACTGGACCAAGCAGCGTGTCCAGGAGCCAACGCCAGAGAGGGCTCTAAAGGATATCAACCTCGACTGGGTCAAGCCGCGGGAGGAGGAGAGAGGCTGGACTTGGGAGCAGAGGAGCGAGAGTCTGGCGAGAGCCATGGAGGCCTGGCCCACGGGGAGGAGAGACGCCCAGAACATTTTTAGGGGGGGGGCTCACGCCGTGGACGACGGGGCAGCAGGAGGCCGGGATAGAGTGGTTCAGCAAGTTGGCAAAGGAGGCCGCCAGGTAACGGGAGTCACTGGTCACCAGGGGGAAGGAGAATGTAGAGGCACGGCGAGAGGTACTGGGGTGTGTTGCCAGTCCGGTCCGGCCCGTTCCTGATCCCCGCGTAGGGCCAGTGGTGTGTCCCCCCAGTACGGTCCGGCTTGTTCCTGTCCCTCGCACCGAGCCTGTGGTACGCGTCGCCAGCCTGGTCCGGCATGTTCCTGCCCCTCGCACCAAGCCTGTGGTGCGCGTCGCCAGCCCGGTCCGGCATGTTCCTGCTCCCCGCACCAAGCCTGTGGTGCGCGTCGTCAGCCCGGTCCGGCCTGTTCCTGCTCCCCGCACCAAGCCAGTGGTGCGCTTCGTCAGCCCGGTTCGGCCCGTCCCTGCTCCCCGCACCAAGCCAATGGTGCGCGTCGTCAGCCCGGTCCGGCCCGTCCCTGCTCCCCGCACCAAGCCAATGGTGCGCGTCGTCAGCCCGGTCCGGCCTGTTCCTGCTCCCCGCACCAAGCCAGTGGTGCGCTTCGTCAGCCCCGTTCGGCCCGTCCCTGCTCCCCGCACCAAGCCAATGGTGCGCGTCGTCAGCCCGGTCCGGCCCGTCCGGACCGGGCTGACGACGCGCACCATTGGCTTGGTTGGGAACCATACTTAGGCAGCCTGTTTTCCACAGTGTGTTGTGGTATGGTTTGTATTGTAACCAAGGACTTCACGTTTCGTATCATTTGTTGTTTTGTTCGTGTGGTGTTCTCAACAAAATAAAGTATGTTCACTTATCACGCTGCGCATTGGTCCACTTCCTCCGACGATTCTGACAATATTAGCTAGATCACTACCTCTAAATATACTGTACTTTTCACTGGAAGTAGCCATGTTTTAACAGTAAAGCAATTATTAATGTCCTAAAAAAAAACTTTGCTGTCATAGCCTAATACCCAATGGCCAATGCAATGGCCAATGCTCATTTTGGGCGCTCGTATCTCATATCCATATCAATATCTCGGTTTTAAAATAGACAGCTGAGAAATAAAAAATATATACCTGCACAAAGCTGAGAACATCCTATCTTCAACTGTGACAACAAGTATTGGATAGCTGTGTTTTTCTTAAGACCATTGAAAACTAAATTTAAGACAATTTATTACATTTTAAGGCTTTTAATTTAGATAAATGAATTTAAGACTTTTTAAGGACCCACAGACACCATGTAGACAGCAAAGCATAGGCTATTTACATTTCTTAGTCAGCCGGCTGGATAACTTCTGTACACCTTCCCTTTGTTCCCTCCTCCATCCTTCTAGAAGATTCCTGCAAAAACAGAGAATCGAGAAAGGCAGTTGAGAGGTATAATGTTAGAATGCATGTTGAGGGGGAGCAGGGATAGGCAGTTACTGCACTTTTACTGCAGTTTCAAAACTACAATATTTTTTGTAAGTCTCTCTCTCTCTCTCTCTCTCTCTCTCTCTCTCTCTCTCTCTCTCTCTCTCTCTCTCTCTCTCTCTCTCTCTCTCTCTCTCTCTCTCTCTCTCTCTCTCTCTCTCTCTCTCTCTCATTAACTAAACATAAATCAAAGCTAGCTAGCTACACCCAACGCCTACAACAGGTAAAAATATGTACCATGTTAATAGAGGCCATCACTGTTTTCTCACGCAGTTGCATAGCCTATAGAAATGTTTGCGAAACATGAGCTCATGGGCTCTCATGAAGTGTTTGATTAGATTTTCGATCACATTTGCATTGATGTCAGAGTGATTAGAGGGACAATAGAGTGCTGAGTACCAGGCAGTTAGCAAGTTTGGTAGGCTACTAATGACCATGAGCAGCATCAGTGCTAGGAGAAGCCTAATTACCGTGACTAAACCGTCACGTGGAATTTGACTGCCGTCATGACAGGTGACCGCCGGTGTGGCGGAAATACAGCCACCGTAACAGCCCTAACTGCAACTACAAAAAAACACTGCCATAGCCTGTAGTAAAAGCAAAAGCATTTATAGCATCAGATATTCTCTAAATTAGGGACCATCTCTGATAGATATAGGACTGTAGAGAATGTCACACATTTCTGCTTTTAATGACCTAGCAAATGTGATGACTTGGAGGTGAAATAAATCACTTTTATTTTTCATGTTTTTGAATTTCATCACCTGACGAATAAAAACTTAAAATGGCCCTACTCCTGAAAAAGTTAATCGGGCCGGATAAGCTGAAGTGGACTCGGCCCCAGTACCATTAGCTGGAGTCCAGAGTAATATGATTCTGCTTGTTTCTGGAAGAGTTTGGCCCGCATGAAGCACCCCCCCCCAAGGTCCCAGGTCAATGCCGAGTCCCCCGGGTCTCAAACGGAATAGGCCCGAGCCCAGTGTGTGGACTGGGTACAGAATGCCACGAGACCCTAACCCGCTTTGGTGCATTCTACTAGCTGTTGTTTGCCAAGTGTGCTAAACTGAATCATGCAAACTCTGCTGAAAAAGAACATTACTTTAATTTTTATAATTGTAATGGTTCTAGTGTCTTATATGCAATGGGTGTGTGTCCCACAAACACTATGCACATGTTCATATAGATTGGTTTCTATTAATTGAGTAACATTTAGATAAATGGTCAGCAGTTTAATCAGATTTCTTAGAAAAACCAGATATCAACCAAAATAAGACGTATTTCTCATGATGTCAAAAAGGTGCCATGAAGAAGACGTCTTAATCTGGTTGTGATCTGGTTATATGATGTCCCGACCAGATTTAAACCAGTAAAATACGTCTATCATGTCGTACGACCACTGGGGAGTTGCAGTGACATTTTGGGGGGATTTGGAGACATCTATCTACTATTTTGAATAATAGAAAGTATCCAAACAAAGGTGATTAATATACCTTCTTTAAAAAATAGTGTAAAGCACTGTGTGACAACTTTGATTGATTGATTTTGTCATTGGTGTTACCGCCTTGAAAATCACACCAATAACTCCACCGACATCGTTGACCTCATCCGACATCCTTGACCACAACTTCTCTGTCAGCCATAATGTAGGGAATGACCACCTCCCCATCCTCGCCTCCTTCTCCCTTCAGCTCCATCAGGCCTGCCTTAAAAAGACACACAACTACAAAAAAGCAGACTGTGAGAAGTTTAGAGAATGTGTAAGCAACAAAATACTCACCACCCTGGAAAAATCAGAGGACCCCAGGATATATACCAGCTGGCAGAGAAAATCCTCATACAGGCCCTAGAGGAAACCATACCTCTCACCACCCCCAAGCCAACATCACAATAGCTCCCAGCTCACATCAACCTCATCAAACAGAAAAGAAACTGATAAGAGACTTCATCAAGATAAAATAACCCCAACTCAAATAACAGGGGACTTTTCTTTGGCAGAAAATAAATAAACGAAACAGCAACCAAATCAGCAATCAGCAATTCAGATCCCTTGACTTTTTCCACATTTTGTTACGTTACAGCCTTATTCTAAAATGGATGAAATTGTTTTTTCCATTTATCATTCTACACACAATACCCCATCATGACAAAGCAAAAACAGTTTAGACATTTTTGCAAATGTATATAAAACAAAAACTGAAATATCATATTTACATAAGTATTCAGACCCTTTACTCAGTACTTTGTTGAAGCACCTTTATCAGCGATTACAGCCTCAAGTCTTCTTGGGTATGACGCTACAAGCTTGGCACACCTGTATTTGGGGAGTTTCTCCCATTCTTCTCTGCAGATCCTCTCAAGCTCTGTCAGGTTGGATTGGGTGCGTCGTTGCACAGCTATTTTCAGGTCTCTCCAGAGATGTTCGATCTTGTTCAAGTCCGGGCTCTGGCTGGGCCACTCAAGGACATTGAGAGTCTTGTCCCGAATCCACTCTTGGGTGTGTGCTTAGGGTTGTTGTCCTGTTGGAAGGTAAACCTTCGCCCCAGTCTGAGGTCCTGAGCGTTCTGGAGCAGGTTTCCATCAAGGATCTCTCTGTACTGTGCTCCGTTCATCTCTCCCTCGATCTTGACTAGTCTCCCAGTCCCTTGCGCTGAAAAACATCCCCACAGCATGATGCTGCCACCATCATGCTTCACTGTAGGGATGGTGCCAGGTTTCCTCCAGACGCTTGGCATTCAGGCCAAAGAGTTCAATCTTGGTTTCATCAGACCAGAGAATCTTGTTTCTCATGGTCTGAGAGTCTTTAGGTGCCTTTTTTGCAAACTCCAAGCGGGCTGTCGTGCCTTGTACTGAGGAGTGGCTTCCGTCTGGCCACTACCATAAAGGCCTGATTGGTGGAGTGCTGCAGAGATGGTTGTCCTTCTGGAAGGTTCTCCCATCTCCACAGAGGAATTCTGGAGCTCTGTCAGAGTGACCATCGAGTTCTTGGTCACCTTCCTGACCAAGGCCCTTCTTCCCCGATTGCTCAGTTTGGCCGGGCAGCCAGCTCTAGGAAGAGTCTTGGTACTTCCGTACTTCTTCCATTTAAGAATGATGGAGGCCACTGTGTTCTTGGGGACCTTCAATGCTGCAGAAATGTGTTGGTACCCTTCCCCAGATCTATGCCTCGACACCATCCTGTCTCGGAGCTCTACAGACAATTCCTTCGACCTCATGGCTTGGTTTTTGCTGTGACATGCACTGTCAACTGTGGAACCTTACATAGCCAGATGTGTGCCTTTCCAAATCATGTCCAATCAATTGAATTTACCACAGGTGGACTCCAATCAAGTTGTAGAAACATCTCAAGGATGATCAATAGAAAAAAATTAAAAAACCTGTTTTCGCTTTGTTATTATGGGGTATTGTGTGTAGATTGATGAGGGGGGAAAAACTATTTAATCAGGAGAGGGGCAGTACATTTTTTAAAATAATAATGAATAATGAAGTAAGCTTTATGCAACATCTTTTTGAGTGCAAACCCATTACACCTTTTTGTTTTGTTTGAATTCGCAGGTTTTACGCACCAGCCAAGCTTCTGGGAGAGAGCAATAGTTATCTTTTGATGAGGACGAGGTGGATAGCAGGCTCCTCAGAGGCCCCACTAACCTACTTGAGCCTGCTGGGTCAGTTCTTCACTGCTTTCCTCCCCACCTACCACTTTCCGCACCCTGGAAGTCTGCTGGGGAAACAATTATTTTTTTAAAAAAAAAAAACTGGGAAAGATCCCCAAAATGTAACCATCTACCGACAATCAATTTTAAGCAACTTAGGGATACCTTTAGTAAAGATTTTAAACAAAAGACTAAGTGAACACGTAGAGGCCCTGGGGGTACTGGGAATCCACCAAGCTGGTTTTAGAAAAGGGAGATTAGAGAGTTTATTTGTCACATGTACAGGGTTGCAGATGTACACTGAACAAAAAAATAAATGCAACATGTAAAGTCTTGGTCACATGTTTCATGAACTGAAAAAAAGAACATCTCAGGGGTGTGGGGGGTGTATTCAGCAGCCTGATGGTCTGGGGGTAGAAGCTATTGGCCAGTCTTACAGTTTTTGCCATGATGCTCCTATACTGCCTGCATCTGAGTGATGGAAATGAGGAGAGTAGGCCATGGCTCAGTTGGCTGGGGTCCCTGATGATCTTCTTGGCCTCCCTGTGACACCTGGTGTTGTAGGTGTCCTGGAGGACAGGCAGTGTGCACCCAATGGTGCGTTCGGCAGAGCGCACCACCCTCTGTAGCGCCTTGCGGTCCAGGCTGTGATGCAGCCCGACAGCATGCTCTCGATGGTACTCCTGTAGAAGACCGTGAGGGCCCTCTGGGGCAGGCTGAATTTCTTCAGTATCCTGAGGTTGAAGAGTCGCTGACGTGCCTTCCTCACCACGGTGTCTGTGTGATTTGACCATTTCAGCTTCTTGGAGATGTGCATGGCGAGGAACTTGAAGTCTCCACAGCGGCCCTGTTAATGAGGATGGGGGTGTGCCCAGCCTGGTTCCCGGGGGCAACCTGCCCACCCTCCAAGACACCTACAGCACCCGATATCACAGGAAGGCCAAAAAGATCATCAAGGACATCAACCACCCGAGCCACTGCCTGTTCACCCCGCTATCATCCAGAAAGCGAGGTCAGTACAGGTGCATCAAAGCTGGGACCAAGAGAATGAAAAACAGCTTCTATCTCTAGGCCATCAGACTGTTAAATAGCCATCACTAGCACATTAGAGGCTGCTGCTGCCTATTGAAATCACTGGCCACTTTAAGAAATGGAACACTAGTCACTTTAATAATGTTTACATATCTTGCACTACTCATCTCATATGTATATACTGTATTCTATTCTATAATATTCTACTGTATCTTAGTCCATGCCGCTCTGTCATTGCTCGTCCATGTATATATTCTTAAATTCCATTCCTTACTAGATTTGTGTGTATTGGGTATATGTTGTGAAATTGTTAGATATTACTTGTTAGATTTTACTGCACTGTCGGAGCTAGAAGCACAAGCATTTCGCTACACCCGCAATAACATCTGCTAAACACGTGTATGTGATGAATAAAATTTGATTTTATTTGAGTACAGGAGGGGACTCAGGAAGAACCCTTGTGGGGCCCCTGTGTTGAGAATCAGTGTCGAGGACGTAACGTTGCCTACCTTCACCACCTGGGGGCAGCCTGTCAGGAAGTGCAGGACCCAATTGCATAGGGAGGAGTTCAGTCCGAGGGCCATGAGATTTGTGGTGAGCTTAGAGGGCACTATGGTATTGAAGGCCGAGCTGTAGTTGATGAACAGCATCCTCACATATGCATTCCTTTTGGAGAGGGTTGAGTGTGTCGGGAACTAAATGTGGCACCAGGGCCTACTCAACAAACTCAGAGACAGCAACCTAAAACTCCCCCCACAAATGGTCAATATCATACAAAGCATCCTCACCAACAGAAGGAATCAGAGTGAAGGTTGTCACAACATTCTCCACCCACTTTGTACCGGAGGCCTCAAGGGGCTGTCCTGAGCTCACTTCTGTTTTTAACCTCTATTAGTCTAAGCCATTTAGGTATAAAAAAAATATACAGTATATATGTATCACTACTATAGCCCATAGAAAGACATTGCATAACACATTCTTAAATGGCAAAAAAGACAGTCAAAAAATCCATCTTAAGGAATAAGGGTTTAATTTGTTTATTTTTTACCCTCGCCATAGGGCGACGCACTAGTGACAGGCAGGTTGCCCGTTAGTTATAGCGACACCTTGTGGCAGGCATGGCGCCCGCAAGCAGACTTCAGTTGTCAGTTGAACGGTGTTTCCGTCAACTCATTGGTGCGGCTGGCTGCCGGTTAAGCGAGCGGGTGTTAAGAAGCAGCGCGGCTTGGCAGGTCATGTTTCAGAGGACGCATGACTCGAACCCAAGATAAAGCATGGGGATCCGCTATAACCCAAGATACAGCAGGTGGCATCCTGTACTGGTCTAAGTGAAGATGAGGAGAGTGTGTTGAACCTCCTGTCTACAGATGGGACACTTACTCAGCAAGGCGCACTTCTCACACACCACCAGGTGTCCACAGGGGATAAAGACCATTTTGGCCGGCTCATCCATACACACCTTACATGTACGTTCCTCCTGCAGATGACGCAACTGCTCCTGCAGATGGCGCAACTGCTCTTGCTGTTTAGGCGACTGCTTCATTTGGTCCTTGCAAGAAGCTGTAGAAAGAGAAATATGAAACATTCTAATGGCATGACATTTTTATATTGTCTTGAAGACGGATAGCCCACACTGGGTCATTCTATATCAGGGGTGTCAAACATACGGCCCGCGAGTGGTTTGAGTAATTTAAAAAAACAACGAACGAAAACTAACTCAATATACTTTAAAATGACTAAAACCAAATAGAAACTGTGTAGAAATGATAATGGACCTACTATACATTCATACAGTTTCTTGACTGTGTCCAGCTTGCTAACACTCACCGAAATGAAAGCTAGACAGTCAGGGAGCATGGAAAATCCCCCAAACTATGGATGGAGCATTTTTGTTTGCACATTTGGACGGAGAGGAAATATAACACATTTTCAGTGCGACCCTCCGGACCTCATTGAAGACCGAATTTCAGCCCCCAGGGCGAAATGAGTTTGACACCCCTGTCAGGAGATAGAGGTCCTGAAAGTCAAACAATGTTATCATTTCTTGAAAAGAAAATGTCAAAATAAATCTGTAATTTTTTACCTTCGATGTAAATTATCTAAAAACTCAGATTTTGTTCTTCATATTAGTCAAACTATTTGAATTTGGCGGAGCGATTTCTGCATAGTGCATCTTTAACTTCCAACACAGGAGGTTGGTGGCACCTTAATTGGGGAGGACGGGCTCATGGTAACGGCTGGAGCGGAAAGTGTGGAACAGTATCAAATACATCAAACACATGGTTTCCAAGTGTTTGATGCCATTCCATTCCCTCAGTTCAAGCCATTATTATGAGCCGTCCTCCACTCAGCAGCCTCCACTGATTCCAATTACTACCACAAAGGTGACTGCCAGTCCACCCACCGCCGAATATCAACTTGAATGGGAATGTCTGTTCTATTATCTTTATTTCTATGATTTCAATAGGTTTTCTATGGAGTGACAATGTAATTTAAAACAATGAATATTCCCATTCAAGTCAATATTCTTTGATGGATGGATCTGCAACTGTCATTGTGGTACCATTTAAAAGTTAAAATGTCTATGATATTCAAATCTTTTGCACATTTATCAGCCAAACATGTATTCCACCCTTCAACTGACGGCGGTATACATTTCCGTGTGCGAGCATGCGCGTGGTTTCTAATTTCTCGTATCACCCCAATGGGAATGAGAAAGCACGCGTATGCTCGCACATGGAAAAGTATCACTCGAGTCCAACACAATGGAATATAACATTGTGGATGAAGTTCAGAATTACACAATTTCATGTGTACAACATATAAAGACCTGCATCACTATACTGAGGGCTTTGCCGTTTCTAAAAGGACATATTTGGGTGTTCTTGTTTATCCATGGCCCCCATACTGCAGAACGAGCAATGAGGAAGTCTATTGCTGGTGGGGTAAGTTTCTCAAAACCAAGTGAAATCGCAAAAAAAGTGTCTGGGCACTTCTATAACACCATTTCCATAAGAAATAGAGGTTTAGTTCAAATGAAGTGAACCTGGCCTTTAAGATTCACATTCTTACCATTTCTATCATGGGCAAACATGTACTGTATGTAAGGTTTTTGTCAAATCAAAATGGGTGTGGTCAAAAATGTGGTTTCATGTGACACAACTTTTCTACCTGTCCACATCTCCTTCTCCTCCATCCTCAGATCTGAGACCAGCTCCTGAACCGTCTTGTAGTTCTCCCCGCAGGTTCTCATTTTACTCTGGACTATCTGCTCGACCAGGCAGTGCTCAAAGCCCAAATGCAGAGCAGACTTGACCACGAGAGTGTCCATCATCCCTGCTTCCTCCTGTTGATTTGTCTCCATGGGAATCTCCTCATCTTCGAAGTCTGAAATTGGCCTAATAGAAGTAAATTCACTGCAGAGAAAGAATGAGAAAATCAGGGCCGTGGCTTATAATATAATATTATTTTCCTCTAGAGAACACAATGTGTAATCAATTCACTCAGTGCAGACCGGTTTTCTAGTCCATCACACCCCACTGGGCACAGATGTCAGTTCAACATCTACTTTTGATTTACAGTACATTTGGTTGAGTTGTCAACTAACAAAAACTGGTTGAATCAATTTGGTTTCCACGTAATTTAAACCAAAAATAAATAAACGTGATTACGTTGAATCAACATAGAAAACTGATTGGATTTGCAAAAAGTGAGATCATTTTGTATTTTTTTCACCGAACTTTGAACCTAAATCCAATGACAGGGTGAATTATTTGTGAAATCAACCAAAAATGTCACCCTGTCATTGGACATCACTCCATGAAGCATCTTTGCACATGCCACATAAAATATTGTTTGGGAGAACATTTCTGCAAGGCTCATATGACATGTATACATTTTACAGTGCATTCGGAAAGTATTCAGACCCCTTAACTTTTTTCACATTTTGTTACGTAACACCCTTATTCTAAAATAGATTAAATAACAAAAAATCCTCATCAATCTACACACAATACCCCATAATGACGAAGTGAAAACTGGTTTTTACACATATTTACAAATTAAAAACAAAAACAGAAATACCTTATTTACATAAGTAATCAGACCCTTTGCTATGAGACTCGAAATTGAGCTCAGATGCATCCTGTTTCCTATGATCATCCTTGAGATGTTTCTACAACTTGATTGGAGTCCACCTGTGTTAAATGAAATTGATTTGACATGATTTGGAAAGGCACACACCTGGTCCCACAGTTGACAGTACATGTCAGAGCAAAAACCAAGCCATGAGGTCGAAGGAATTATCCGTAGAGATCTGAGAACGGATTGTGTAGAGGCAAAGATCTGGGGAACACTTCTGCAGCATTGAAGGTCCCCAAGAACACAGTGGCCTCCATCATTCTTAAATGGAAGAAGTTTGGAACCACCAAGACTCTTCCTAGAGCTGGCCGCCCGGCCAAACTGAGCAATCAGGGGAGAAGGGCCTTGGTCAGGGAGGTGACCAAGAAAACAATGGTCAATCTGACAGAGCTCTAGAGTTCCTCTGTGGAGATGGGAAAAACTTCCAGAGGACAACCATCTCTGTAGCACTCCACCAATCAGGCCTTTATGGTAGAGTGGCCAGATGGAAGCCACTGCTCAGTAATAGGAACATGAAATCCCGCTTGGAGATTTCCAAAAGGCACCTAAAGCCTCTCAGACCATGAGAAACACGATTCTCTGGTCTGATGAAACCAAGATTGAACTCTTTGGCCTGAATGGCAAGCGACACGTCTGGAGGAAACCTGGCACCATCCCTACGGTGAAGCATGGTGGTGGCAGCATCATGCTGTGGGGATGTTTTTCAACGGCAGGGACTGGGAGACTAGTCATAATCGAGGGAAAGATGAATGGAGCAAAGTACAGAGAGATCCTTGATGAAAACCTGCCCCAGAGCGCTCAGGACCGCAGACTGGGGGCGAAGGTTCACCTTCCAACAGGACAACGACCCTAAGCACACAGCCAAGACAACGCAGGAGTGGCCTCGGGACAAGTCTCTGAATGTCCTTGAGTGGCCCAGTCAGAGCCCAGACTTGAACCCGATCGAACATCTCTGGAGAGACCTGAAAATAGCTGTGCAGCGACACTCCCCATCGAACCTGAAAGAGCTTGAGAGGATCTGCACAGAAGAATAGGAGAAACTCCCCAAATACAGGTGTGCCAAGCTTGTAGCGTCATACCCAAGAAGACTCGAGGCTGTTATCGTTGACAAAGGTGCTTCAACAAAGTACTGAGTAAAGTGTCTGAATACTTATGTAAATGTGATATTTCAGTATCTTATTTTTAATATATTTGCAAAAATGTATAAAAACCTGTTTTTGCTTTGTCATTGTTGGGTATTGTGTGTAGATTGATGAGGGGAAAAAACGATTTAATCAATTTTAGAATAAGGCTGTAATGTAACAAAGTGTGGAAAAAGTCAAGGGGTCTGAATACTTTCCGAAGGCACTGTATTCTTCGAGAATCACCTTAAGATAAATATATTTCCCCTATGTGTTGATAAGTGTTTTTAAATGTGTATTATTAGGACCCTGTGTGTTTATTCTATATGTACAGGTCGTTATTGTAAAATATAATTTGTTCTCAATGATTTACCTGGTTAAATAAAGGTAAAAAAAAATGATAATGACATTTGATATCTTTAATAATTGAATCAGAAGAAATAGGCCTATAGATTTTTAACTGTGTAATCATTGTGTATTGTGTGTGTTAAGCAGGCATTGGTTAATTTGCTCATTGGTTGGCTGAGCTATGGAATTACTTTTGTGCCTTTAATATTTAGCAAGCCTTTTGAATTCGAGATCAAAATTATTATTATTGCAAACAAAAATAATGCTAAAGAAAGCAAAACATTAACCCAAAAGTATTGAGAAAAATAAAATAAAATATTGCAAGGAAATCATTTTGAAAGGCAAAAACAAATTAATTGTAAATTAATCAAATAAAATAAAAATATGTGAAACACTTCTCTCTTTGCCTGCAATACCCTGCCCTTTTTTAGCGTTTGCAAAGTTTTGGAACATTCATTCCGTGTAGGCGGGGTTTAGAGGGAGGTGTAGATGATGAGTCTCTATTGGTCAACCAGTTTTGGAGTGACAGTTCATCCTGATTTTCTAAATAATAATAATATAATATGCCATTTAGCAGACGCTTTTATCCAAAGCGACTTACAGTCATGTGTGCATACATTTTTACGTATGCATGGTCCCGGGGATCGAACCCACTACCCTGGCGTTACAAGCGCCATGCTCTACCAATTGAGCTACAGAGCACCTTTATCCCCAGCTAGCAGTTTAAAGGTGCTACACATAGAATTTCTCAGAATTTCTCATCTATGTGGGAGCTAGGTGAATTGCAACAGCACTAGGCTGCATTCAAAACAAATCTCCCCCTCCTCCACATCCCATTTCCCCGTAACATGGCGGAGACAAGCGTTTGAGCCTTTGTCTTTCAGTCCACCAGCTTCAAACAGCTGTAAAAACAATATTTGTTGTTATTGAAAATATATTCCATAGAGATTTAGATGGTACAATGATTCCCTACACAATTCAGTGCTTGTTTTCTCAAATAAACTGAAATTGAGCTAACAGTGTAGATTTTTAGTGGCCGCTTGCCCCAGTTTCCACTAGATAACACAGCCAAAGTCAAAACAGCTTTCCCATTTCGACAACAGAACAGAAGCCAACCCAATCAATAGGTGAATATCACAGCCAATCAACACTGGTAGGTAAGTAATACTGTGAAACACTATTGATCCCTTATTACTGCAGATATATTATGGACATATTCAGAAATTACTATGCAAAAAAAAAAAAGAACACCTTTAATAATTATGGCCAGTACAGCTATGTTAGATAGATAGCTAGCTAGCTGACAATAATGAGAGGCAACAGTGTTTTCTACTAACTAACAAGCTAGTGTATAAGAAAATAGTTTTTTATTTATTTAACTTTTCAATTTCAGATCAAAAGGGCTCAGTGGCTACTAGCCAGCTAGCTAGCCCATTGGGACAGACTTGCCTGACATTAGCTAGCTAACGTTTCATTTACAACACGGAGGACATCGGGGAAACACCCTTAGGTAGGTGTCTTTTGTGCCTTGTAATTTCACATTCAGAAGATGCATTGAAACAATTAGCTTGCTAGCTAGCTAACTAGCATGGTTATATAATTTCTATCACAGCCAGCAAGCAAGATATGATGCACTGAAGTTACTCTGAAGTTACTCTAGTGGTACAGTGCATTCGGAAAGTATTCAGACCCCTTGACTTTTTCCACATTTTGTTACTTTACAGCCTTATTCTAAAATTGATTACATTGTTTGTTTTTTCACATCAATCTACACACAATACACCATAATGTCAAAGCAAAACAGGTTTTTAGAAATGTTTGCAAATGTATTAAAAATTAAGAACTGAAATATCACATTTAGATAAGTATTCAGACCCTTTACTCAGTACTTTGTTGAAGCACCTTTGGCAGCGATTACAGCCTCAAGGCTTCTTTGGTATGAAGCTACAAGCTTGGCACACCTGTATTTGGGGAGTTTCTCTCATTTTTCTCTGCACATTGGTTGGATGGAGAATGTTGCTGCACAGCTATTTTCAGGTCTCTCCAGAAATGTTAGATCGGATTCATATCCAGGCTCTGGCTGGGCAACTCAAGGACATTCAGAGACTTGTCCCGAAGCAACTCCTGCGATGTCTTGGTTGTTTGCTTAGGGTCGTTGTCCTGTTGGAAGGTGAACCTTCGCCCCAGTCTGAGGTCCTGAACACTCTGGAGCAGGTTTTCATCAAAGATCTCTCTCTACTTTGCTCCGTTCATCTTTCCCTTGATCCTGTCTAGTCTGCCAGTCCCTGCCCCTGAAAAACATCCCCACAGCATGATGCTGCCACCACCATGCTTCACCGTAGGGATGGTGCCAGGTTTCCTCCAGACGTGACGCTTGGCATGCAGGCCGAAGAGTGCAATCTTGGGTTCATCAGACTAGAGAATCTTGTTTCTCATGGTCTGAGAGTCTTTAGGTGCCTTTTGGCAAACTCCAAGCAGGCTGTCATGTGCCTTTTACTGAGGAATGGCTTCCATCTGGCCACTACCATAAAGGCCTGATTGTTGGAGTGCTGCAGAGATGGTTGTCCTTCTGGAAGGTTCTCCCATCTCCACAGACGAACTCTGGAGCTCTCTCAGAGTGACCATCGTGTTCTTGGTCACCTCCATGACCAAGGTATTCTTCCCCCGATTGCTCAGTTTGGCCGGGTGGCCAGTTCTAGGAAGAGTCTTTCTGCTTCCAAATTTC